TTTAGCCTAATGGATACAGTAATTTCAACAGATGAGATAAGACGCTAAGACTATTTTATGTAAAAAAGGTGCTCTTCGTTTAGTTCAAAAAGGCGGACGGTTTTCAAGATATTTACGTTTAAAGGTTGATTCTCACTGTACCTTCCGTGTCAGCTCCCTTCCGTTTCCCTTCAGTTTACATAAAATATTATATCATGTAAATGAATATTGTACAATTTACATCATTACGAAAGTTTCATTTTAAAAATTTGTATCTTTTGAAAAAGGTAATAGATTTGTGGCGCCCAAGCCATTGCCGCCTACAACGGTATCAGGTCTGGAGGTTCGACGGCGCAAACAGCTACTCCAGCCTCGAGAAGTTTTCTCTTGCCGGTCATGAAGGCCAAGTCTACAGAGAAAAGAAGAACCGAGTGACAGTCCGCGCTGTCATCCGTCAACGAAGCCACTGAAGTTAGTCTCAGTCAGGCAGTCAAGATGGCCGCCGGCTAGTCCGATTGTGCTCCTTCGTTTCTGTTAAATTTCAGTCCAATTTATATTAATGTTAAATAAAAGTTGTTAGAACACGCGCCTCATTTCAATACGACCACGTCGCTATTCCCTAAAGATTTAATTAAGAGGTAAAATAATAAATACATAAATATCAACAATATGTTAACAGAGCTGGTACGTAAGTAATTGACAACGCTGTTTCCGATACGCTTCAGTCCGTCCGCTAAGAAAATGTATGGAAGGAAAGAATATGGAACGGAAGGGAAACGGAACGGATTGTGTGCATTGTCCTATTCATTTACATGTTATAATATTTATTGTAAACGGTATTGAAAAATATTTTGACGTATCTTTCTCCACTTGAAAAGTCGAATTTTCAGAAACCATTAACCTATACCTACGTTTTCTAATTAATTTATCAACTAGTGAAGGAGAATATCCATTACACTCAGCTACATTCCTAATGTAAGCTCTTTCTATTTCATATCTTTCGCTGGAAAGTGGAAAATTAAGTAATCTATGAACTAAGAAATTTAAACTAGCCATTTTATGTTCAACACTATGATATGATTCATTAGGGATATATCTGCGTGTAGTGGTATTTTTCCTATAGATATCAAATTCCAGGCCAATTATTATTATTTCTAATAACTAATACATCTAGAAATGGTAATCTGTCGTTGTTCTCAATTTCATGTGTAAATTTAATGGAAGGAAAACGATTATTTAACTTGGAAATAAAATTATCTATGGTGTCTGAATGTGTCTCAAAAACAGCAAAAATATCATCCACATACCTAAACCACACCTAAACCATACTCTTGGAAAATACTCAAACTGATTCTTAGCCTCCACTTCAAACCTGCTCATGAATAAATTAGCCAACAATGGAGACAATGGATTACCCATTGCTGTACCTTCCCGCTGTTCAAAAAAGTTGTTATTAAATTGAAAACAATTTTGTTTCATACATAACGATGTAAGCCAATATATTCAATCACAGTTTTGTTGTCGAGACCATTTGCGTTCAGTAATTCCTTCAAGTAGCCTAAAGTTTGTGGAATTGGAACACTTGGGAACAACGAAGATACATCAAAGGAGGCCAAAATATAGTGAGAATCAGCCTTTAATGTTTCGATGCGAAGATTTTAGTATTAGCGAAATTTTGATAAAATTTTGCTAATATTACTTGAAGTTTTGATAAAATATGATTTTATTTTTATTTTTTTTTATTATTTTAGTCCACGCCATTTAATTTCCCATTGGTCAGTCATCATTTCGCTAAACTATTTTTAATACTGAATCATTGTTTACTACCCATTCGAAGAAAGAAATATTTATAATCCATCCAACAAGCGAGGGAAAATCTCGACAGACGACATCCAGAAAATGACAGAAAATACAATTTACCTGTGAAAATGATAGACGCAATTGTCAGAAAGGCGGAAACCTTTATTTTTTACTTCATAGTCTTATACAGGTATAGACAAAAAGTTATTAGATTCTTCAAGCCAGTTAAAAACATGTGGGTGGCGCCCTTACACAAGTTGTAGTCATCTTAACATCGAAATCAAATTTCTCATGTAAAAAAACCATCTAGACACCAATTTTTATCCAAATACTGACATTAGTTCAAAACTTATTCGGAAAAAATCGACAGAAAATGGAATTTTCTACACCCTGTATCTCCAAAACAAAATATTTTAGGATACATTTATACGAACATTTTTACCTACTTTTATCGGTTGAATGTGCTGCCAAGATTTCCCGAATACACTTCGGACCACCCTGTAAAATATTGCGATAATAGTAATTTAACTTCGTTGATAGTAATAATTTTAGGTCCAGCCTGAACAACTTGGCATCGGTTTTTTGAGCAGGTAACCATAGCGACGGCGTCTTGGCGACCTTCTATGTGACATTCGATCTGGTGGCAATGCAAGGTTGGATTCGACAAACGCGTACTTATATTCTGGGTTCTTTCGGTATAAAAGGTCAGGAATAAACGCGAATTCTTTTGAATCAAGATATACGGAAAAATGTTTTGTTTATCGAAAATAGGTGTTGTATATTTTATCCGTGTCACTAAATTGAAATGGTTTCAAACGAAGCATTTATATATTTATTATTTGAATAGAAAACGAGAGAGAGAGAAGCATTTTTAGTATATTTACTTACCCTAGAAACTTGAACATTTCTTGTTTTTTATTAGATAGCAGTAAATTATTTCTCCAAAATAATCCTTTATATGGGTATTTCGCCATGTATTGCTCATGCATCTGTAGATGTTAGTAATGTATAGCAATCGCTTCTTTGATTTTAAAGAACATAACATAAATAAACATAACATACGTAAAATTTAAAAGTAATCATACAGAAAGTTTGGGGCTTTTTGGTTTTACCTTATTAAGTAATTGTTATCAGGTAGTAATTGTTACTTTTGAAGTTTAACTTGATATAATGTCATTTTAACAGAACGTTAACGGTTTCTTGTAGAAGTATCTGTTTTAAAAAAACTAAAGTGTTCTCGAATAGTTGAATTTAAATATTTTAAATAGTTTTTTTCTTTGTTCTTTGTATTTTTTTTGCTTTCGACGACGGAAAGAGATAAACTTTCCGAAACGTTAAGCATTTTTTTCTTTATTAGGCAAATTTGTATAACTGTAAACATAGCTTCTGAGAAGTAGTTTCCGTTTGGGTTTAACGCAGAAATGTTTACAAAAAATAACTATTTTATTTTGTATATTTTCTTGCAGTGCAGCGGCGAAATACCCATATAGGATTTTTTGGAGAAATGAATCCGCCACATAGATATAGATATTTTTTAGCAGTAAATTATACCTTTTTGACATGTACAAAGGTCACATAAAGTTAATTGATACAAGTTTCTAATACTTTTTAAGTTAACTATGGATGGGTTTAAATATAAATCCGTCATGCGTCGTCTCTTGTTGTTTTTAAGCAGTTTTATTGGATTATTTAAAAAATTACAGATCATATTTCAATTTTATTGGATTGATGGAACGAAGAACGACAAACGGACGCTGGCCGATGCGTATGAACTCCCCTTTAAATTTTTGAGGCTTGTCAAAGTCTTGCCAAATTATAGGTTATAATTTTGTGTCAACTTATGTCAAATATCTGCGTTTTGGAAGATGATGCATTTTCATTCGTGTTATTACGTGTCTTTTTTGTGTCTTTTGAAGTCAAGTGGGGGAAAAATCGAGTGAAAATTAACCGTAGACCCAGAAGCACAGTTTATAGTTAATACTTGCTGCCCAGGCAGAAAGTCTTATACACCCCAATAAAGTTACCATCAATAAAGTTTGTATACCATCTCGTCATAGATAAGCGCATCTCGTATATGGTACAAGGATCGTACTAAACATATACTAAAAACTGGAGTAGCTGTAAAATATCGACATCACACGATATGTAAATAATGGATTTGAGTACTACAGAAAAATATGAAAAATGTCAAAAGGTACTAAGGTTTAAAAAAATTAAGATTAAAGTTAAGTTGGTAAGTGTTATTATTAATAAAATAGTTTGTTTTATTTATTCCTGTGGAATATTACAAATTTGTGTTTGTACATAAGTTATATTGATAAATATAATAATAAATGCGGGAAGTTTCTTGAAGCTTGAAAGTAAGAAATAGTTCTTTTTTACATTTTTTGGTTCTGTGATGTTTTGTTCTTGTTTGTTTTGTATAAACACATGCCGTTTTTTAAATAAAATAACTCGATTACATTTTTTCAGTTTTATACATTTTTTTTTCACAATATTTTTAAGTGATCACTTATCAGTCAAATTTTAAATATGTTAATTTCCTGCTATGCGTTCCTGTTGTACCAACTTATTTCTTTGTAAAATAAAATAAACTACATTGAAATTAAAATGACAGACACATCTATCACTGTCAAGGATCTTGTCGTTGGACAGACTATACCTCCTACGATGGTATACACCCTTCCATGGTTGGGTCTTCTATCTACCCACATATCCCTTTGACCTGGTCCTGTCCTCATAGGATTTTGGTTTTAGGTGAGGTTGTCTCCTCTTTGTTCAGGCGGTTAAGCTGAATCCCCATACCTTCTGCCCGTGATACATGACCACGACCCCAGACAGTAGAGGGTGCCTGGTATGACAGACAGGGTTATCCCATCCGGCATCGTTATGTTTTGGTGCAATTCCCTGGCTACCACACTACAGCCAGGCTGAAGATAATGAGATGCTCCTTAGACCCAGCCACAGTGCAAGAGGGAAGTTCCTCTAGCACCTGACCAGAAGCTTACCTACCATCGACAAGGTCTCGCATCTCAGAGAGGAAGATTCTTCTGTATAAATCATCATACAAAAGAACTTGAAATTGGCTTAGAATGAAATATATCAATATACTACAAATAAATCTAGCTTTACTGTTTATATTGCTTTATGTATTTTTATATAATTTTGTACTCTATTATTATTATTAATTATATCTATTATAAAAAACAATTATTATTTTCCTAAGTCTTCAAACTTCTTCTATAGGCGAATGGATAATCGTAATTAGATTTCGGTCGGAGTCCATAAATTGATGCTTTTGGACCTAGAAATTATTGATATGATTAGTATATTAATGTTATAAACCCATTATACTTTTTATCTTGAACGTACGTGGATAATATAATGGTGGAATAAATTAGTGGTTTCAATAGCATAGAAGTTTGTCTCTCTAATTTCAATGTAAGCATTCAGAACGTCTAAATTAGTGGTAGTCATTTGTAATTGATAGAAAAAGTATATAACAAACTTTTGACTTTTCCACTAATTATACTTCAAAATTTCCGGGGAATGTCATTTTAATTTTTGATTATCATTCATCAAGAGAAATTGTGGTTAGAAATCAAAAGTTTATTGTTTTATAAGCTAAATATTTGGCTGTCTCCATGGATATAGTCTTTTCGAAAATCTTGATTTGTATCTCCGTTATTATGGAAGATATTTAGAAGGTGAAAACTGGTTCTTGTAGAACTTTTTACGTAGAATACAGTGGCATAGTCTGTTTTTGTACGAAAAAAATATTTTTGAAAATATGAACTAAAGTTATGTTTTTTCAAATGGAACACCCTGTGTATTCATTAACGCTATTAAATCATATGATCCGCCTTGCTATGAGCTTCTCAAAAATGATATTACTCTATATTTATTTTCACTATTTACTGCAATATTTAAAATGTATCATTTTCTTATTAGTAGGTTGTAATAACAAAAAATCAAAATGGTATTTACTAAAATAATCATACACATATTAAAATTTTATCTGGAATTGATATATTTTACTTTTGAACTGTTACCACTGAATCTCTGAATATATTTTTCATTTTTTATAACTAAATTTATTATAACGGGATGGGTTTGCAAATATATAACAGCTTGCATTATTAAAGCATTTTCCAGGTGTTCGATATTGTGTTAGTTTCCGATATATTTCATATTTCAAAAATCCTCAAAATCAGAAATCGAGAACGGATAAATCTGGGAATCAGGGAGGCCATCATATGAATCCGTTGGTTCCAATTCATTGATTTGAGAAATAATAATTTCACAAAATTCTAATATTTTCGGTGTAAGTTAAGTTGTGAGGGGGAACCCCTTCTTGTCTGAAAGTATATATTATTACATAAATTAGCTAAAGGAATATTTAAAAGTTCCGAGACGATATACTCTGTTTTTTTTTCTCAGGTAAGATTTCGACAGACGATGACAGAAAAAGAGCAGATGACTTCCATACCAGTCCATTTATTTCACTAAAAACAGTTTCTAATATTTTTTAAGTTAACTATCGATGGGTTTATAAATAAATACGTCATGCGTCGTCTCTTGTTGTTTTTAACTCGAAAGGGAAACTCGAGGAAATATTAAGTGTTGACCCAGACCATAGTTTACAGTTAATATTTGGTGCACAAAGACCGCCAGAGACACACTTTGTCAGAAACTATGGCCAGAGAGTTGTATTAGCCACAAATAAAGTTGTATACCATCTCGTATATGGTACCACAAACTGGAGTATCTGTAAAATAATATCACACGATAGGTAAATAATACATTTTAGTACTTAAATATATTAATTATGCGTTCCAATTGTACCAACTTCTTTCTTTGTAAAATAAAATAAACTACTTTGAAATTAAAATGACAGACACATCTATCACTGTCAAGGATTTGGTCGTTGGACAGACTATAGCTTCCAAGATATACAAATAGTGGTAAAGTTTCCCTAATATATAAAGAATTTATTAGTGGCTCTAAAAATAAAACAAGAGACAGATAGCAGTATATGCTTTTAATAATTCTTTAGTTTACTAAAATCGTAAGCAATCTAAGAAATAGCTAAGAAATAATTCTTAGCTACTAATAAATTAAATATGACCTTTTAATATATTTTTTTTAAATATTGTAGTAAAGAGTGAAAATAAATATAGAGTGACATATATTTTTGAGAAGCTTATGGCATGCCAGATCATATAATTTATAAATATACAGGGTGTTTCGTTTAGGAAAACATAATTCATATCTTTAAAAATATTCTTTTTGTAGAATAACAGACTATTTCATCTTATTCTACATAAAAAGTTTTACAATAATCAGTTTTCACCTTCTCGATACCCTTAACAATAACAGAGATACAGGAGGTGTCCCAAATTGCAAAATCTTCAAAAAGACCCTGTAGCTTAGAAACATGGAGGGCTATGAAAATTTTGTTTACGGCATCTTCCGTTTGACAAAAAAGTGGAACAGGTTTGTGCAAACCGCACCCTTCTATCTTCACGAATAATGGAGATACCGTATGATTTCAACCAAAATGGGACACCCTGTACATATAAAGAGATAAAGTTGGAAATGTAAGTAATAAAAAAAGTTATTGTTATTTGTAAATTTTTCTTTAAAAGTTATTTTGTTTAATATACAGGGTGTTTCAAAACAAATGCGAAAAACTTCAGGGGGTGATTCCTTGTTAAAAATAAAGGGTAGTTTGCTTTATAAAGGTTGGGTCAAAAGTCAACCATTAGGGAGATATCGCGGTACAAAAATGGCGGAGAAATAATGTTTTAATTTTTTATCTTGAAAACGAAAAGAGATAGGCTAATGAAATTTTATTTAAGCATTACTGTTATGAAAACACACTTTCTGGTAATTTTTTCACTTTTTTAAAACGAGTGGAAGGGGTTGAAATAAACTATCTCTATCATTCTTGTTAACGAAATTTAAAGAAAAATCTTATCAAACACATGCAAAAAAATTATTTGGATAGTTTGGTTTGTTTAGAAACTTTTTTATCTCTTGTGTTTTTTTGATAAAACTCACCGATTTGAAATTAAAAAATAAAATGTAAAGCATTACATGTTAGGACAAAAACACTTTTAGATAGAGAAAAAAGGCTTCGGAATAATTAATCGTAAGATAATAACGTATTGCGGTAGAGTAATGTCAAATAAAACAATATTAGAAACACCCTAAAAAGTGACAGAAGCCGACTAGATTTTTTCCTAAAAAAATTACAGCAGCCCACTAGATTCTTTATTTAAAAATGTTTTTTGTGCTGACATGGTAATGCTTTACATTTTATCGTGTGTTTTTTTATCAAAAAAAAAGTTTCTAAACAAACTACACAAACTCTAAAGTTTCTAAACAAACTAAACTATCCAAATTTATTTTATTTTTTCATGTGTTTGATGAGATTTTTCTTTAAATTTCTTTAACAAGAATGATAGGGGTAGTTTATTTCAACCCCTTCCACTCATTTTAAAAAAGTGAAAAAATTACAAGAAAGTGTGTTTTCATAACAGTAATGCTTCCATAAAATTTCATTAGTCTATCTCTTTCGTTTTCAAGATAAAAAATAAACTCATTATTTCTCCGCCATCTTTGTACCGCGATATCTCCCTAATGGTTGACTTTTGACCCAATGTTTATAAAGCAAACTACCCTTTATTTTGAACAAGGAATCACCCCCTGAAGTTTTTCGCATTTGTTTTGAAACACCCTGTATATTTTAAATTCTAAAAATATTATTGATTATATATTTCACACGAGAGAAAATTTTACGCTTTTTCTATAAGAAACGGCCTCACCTGAAAGTAGTTGAAAACTCTTCTCATGCAATCTATCGATTATATTTTGAGGGTCGAGGTTTTGAAAGTTTCCATAATTTTGACTAGAGAGAAACTGAGATATTCTATCTATCTTATCCTTGAAAAAGAAAAACATTTCAATTCGTAAAGTTTCAGATAGTACCTACAAAATACGAGTATAATATTACCTGAATAGGTTTTATCCAACCAGTGTGAGATATTTTGTCTATGAATAAGTTAGGCAAATAAGATTTTATATTATCCGTTTCATGATTGGCTGGCACAGTTTTTAATGGTAAAAATTCGGGTGGTATTTTAGATTTCCTTATTTGGGGATTATCATTTATACAAATAACTAAATGTACTATAATCTAAAAGTTAAAAAATGTTATGTTGTGGAAATAACAAATATGCTAACTTACCGAAAGCAACATGGTATTGTATGCAAAGAAATTCATATTTATATATTGGTTTCATTTGAAACTTGTTATGAACTGAATTTGTTCGTTTATATAGTATACCCTTATAATACTGTAAATGCCCTGATTAATTTTGAATAAATTATTTTTAGTTATCTGAAATATGTCTATTAGTTATGAAATTTTACTAAAATAAATGAAATGTTATTATTATGTCTAAAACATAAAACGAGATATAAAATATAATTATCTATATTTTAACCAAGATTCTTAAGTTTTTATTAAGCATTTGGTTTGTGGATGCGGTTTGTTAGTTCGTTTTTTAAATTCTTCCATTATGTTCGTGAGATTTATTTGGATGGTTCGTCTAAAAAAACGACATTCCACCGAGTCGCGGCATTGACGAACCACATCAGCGAATAGTGAGTATGAGACTCAGTCTTATACCGTTGCTTATACTATACTCGATATAAATAACATCTCTATTCGTCTACGTACTTATACAGGTAAAAAAGTTCGTATAAATGTATGTCCTAATATGCTCAGTTTCGGAGATACCGGGTGTAGAAGTTTCATCTTTATTTCCATTTTTTCCAAATAATTTCTGAAGTAACGTCAATATTTGGTTAAAAATTGGTGTCTGGGAGTTTTTTGACATGAGAAATTTGATTTTGATGTCAATATGACTCCTACTAGTAGAGGGCGCCACCTGCACATTTTTTAACTGGTTTGAAGAGTAATAACTTTTCGTCCGTACCTGTATAAAACTACTGAGTAAAAAAATATACATTTACAACTTCTTTTACATAAAAAAGGCCGCTTGGAAAAAATCGCTACGAGTAATGGTTTTCGAGATATTTGGAATCGAAATTATCAATACCTGTCATCATTGACATAAATTAAACATGTTGACTAAATAGTTATTAGACTGAAATCGTAAATTTGAAATGTTTTTGTGCCATAAATTCAACACAAACTGTTTTATCATCATTATTTTTCAAATAAAAAAATTATGATTAATTTAAAAAATAAAAAGTTTCCAAATTTATCATTTCAGTCAAATATCTATTTACTCCACTATGTTTATTTTTTGTCAATAATGACATGTATTGACTATTTTCATTCTAAATATCTTGAGAACGGTTGCTCGTAGCGATTTTTACAAAGAGATATTTTTTACGTAAAAAGTTACAGAGATAAGTAGTTTTATACAGGTACGGACAAAAAGTTATTATGCTTCAAAACAGTTGAAACATATGTAGGTAGCGCTCCCTACAAATAGGAGTCATATTGACATCAAAATCAAATTTCTCATGTCAAAGAACTCCCAGACACCAATTTTCATCAAACTTCAGAAATTATTTGGAAAAAAACGGAATAAAAATGAAACTTTTACACCCTGTATCTTCGAAACTAAGTATTTTAGGACATACATTTATACGAACTTGTTTACTTATTTTTGTCTGCAGAATATGCTGCCGAAGTTTCCGGAATACAGTTCGGACCACCCTGTATATATTTTTATTTGAAATATCTCAGCATTGATTTCTTTTAATTTATTATTTTTTACGTGATACAATTGTTTTTTATTTTTGAAATGTACCTTAAAACATCCTTTCATTTGTTAATTAACCATAATAAGAATGCATTGTTTATGCATTTTCATGTCCCTAAGTTACGCCACTTTGTTTATAGTGTAGGTATAGCCAAAATATTAAAATGGGTTAATATAAGTTAAAAAAACAATTTTAATTTTTACATTTAATATATAAAAGCATATAAAAAATATAATAAGTCGTTAGTAGTATTATGTAGGATTTGTTACTAGGGGGCAAAAACCAAGGGCGGTATGTCTTTAAGGGCTAAGTTAATATAGCTATTTTCCTCTTCTAGATCAGTAATTAGCGTTTTCATTTTCATCACAACATCGGCTTTCTTTATCTCATTTTTTTCGACCACTTTCTTCAGTACTGACAGCAGCTGATAACTGGCGGTAGAGGATGAAAAATCTATTAAATCCTTTAAAACATCTTGCTGGTAACCCTGAAAGTAAATTTAGAATTTAGTTATTGAATTCAATTACATATAAGACTTTATAATATAAAACGTATAAGCATGCATTTTGAAAATTTTCATGAATTCAATAAAAACTCATAGTAAATTTTTATTACACACTTTTTTTGATTTGTTAAATATTTTTGACACCCTTTAATAACAAGACAGAGTTTAGGCAGTTTTAAAAGCGTGTTGTTTTAATTTCTTTGACGATTATTAAAAGTAATTATTATATTTAACGGTAGTTTTGCCAGACTCACTTCTGTGCCAAAAAAAAATAAACATTAGAACTATATTCAATCTAGAGTGCTACTGCTGACTCAAAATACCAAGTATTGATACCAAACTATTTTTAAAAATATGCTTTTTCTAGATGTGCTAATGAGCAACCCTTATTCCATTTGAAAAAATTGAGTTATGATGAAAAATTCGATTTGGTCGTCTTTTGAAAATGTTAAAAGTTAACATATGATATGTCATTCTATTCAGAATATTATATTTTTTTTTTCAAATATAGTAAAAAAATATCGATGGTAACATTTAAAAATCAAAATTTGTAGTCATAATAACATAGAAAAGCTCCTCTTTTTTATCTGAAAGAATAAAAAAGTTATAGATGTCAGCCACACATTTAAAATACATCAGGTATAGCCTTTGTGATCATAAGATTTTTTCACCTTAACTATTCTGAACTAGTTGTTCTTATTACAATGGTGTAAGATTACATATCAGATGTACAGGGTGATCGAAATTGGTCTGTTTTAACAGAGAAAACTTACTTCCTGACTAGATAGAGCAAAACCGACATAGATGTCATGGGCTCGATTTCCGAGACACGTTTAATGGCCGCCTGTTGATATTTTCACTGCCAACTGAGATTTAGGGTCTTTTTGAATTTTTTACCATTTGGAAAATTGTCCATAACTTTTGTATTTCGCGGAATAATAAAATGCACTTTTTTAAGCACTTTTTTAAGCACAATCCAGTGGCATAGTCAGTTTTTTCTACGCTTGCTCTTTTTGTCAGAAATAATAATGTAGCGTTTTTTAAAACAACTACCACTGCGAACGGCAGCTTTTCATCGGAGAGCAGTCGTGGATAAGGTATTTCACTAGAGAGAAAATTAATCAATAATAATAAACAAAAGATATCTAGATATTGGGCGCCAGGCATGTACAGAGAAAGAAAACACAATTGTATAATACTTAAACTAATGACTATATTTATTCGTGACGAATTCTGATGGTGTATAGCATTGTACAATTTTAATAATTATTATAGTGGTTACCTGTTGAATAAAACTATATATGTAAATAATATTAAATACGTTCTATGTAAAGACTATAAGGAAAATACAATGCGTGTAACATTAGAGAAAATATAAGAAAAGTAGCATTACTTTATTTAAATTGTTAAATTTATACGGTGTTCAATCAGATGTGTTGCAACCTTAGATTCTAGAATCTATCTCGTCATTCATCTATTAGTATAGCGTAATAATGATGTCTATAGAAAGTAATACCATTACAATGCGTGATATTATGAAATCTAAAATCTAAATCACACTTTTACTACTGCATTGACATAAATATTCTTAATAATCTAACCACTAAATATAGTCTGTACGCTATAGTTTAAATGTACGTTACTGTTTAAGACTGAAAACATTTTAGGTGTTAAATGCAATACTAGAACTTAAAATTACACTTAGCTGTTCTTTAATGTAACCCTGCTTCAACCAGTAGCAGCGCGAGGAGGTCTTGCATCTCTGCACTGTCTGTCGGCGATCCAGGCTTAGAAATGGGGGTGAAGCAGCACGGGGCTCAAGCCACACCCACGCTGGGGCACTCTATGTGAAGACAAATCAATCCTACAGGGGACACTTGTCCATGGGACATCCGTCCATAAGACAGTGGTACAAGAGAATACTAGGACCTTGGATAATGCCCGTACCTTGTAAATAGTCTGTCCGTAAGACCCTCGAAGTACTTCCGAGCTCAATAAATAATAAATAATCTGTCCTTTCTTCCAAATGACATTCTGGAGGCCAAAAGCAAAGGGACGCCAACGTGCCAGCCAAATACAAATACAAGTTGGGCCATCCGTAACTCTACCCTGTAGCTTCGAAATGGCAGCTGATTCAGATTACACAGCAAGATTTAAATAACCACCATTTCTCAAAAACTGGGACTAATGGCGTCTGACCGGTCAAACAGTCTAACCAAAAGTGAAGTTAGATCACAGAGAATTGACAGAAGCGATGTTGACAGCGCGCGCTCCCACAGAGCAATAACAGGGTTGTGCCAAACCATAACAGGGTTGTGCCCAGACATCATATATCATAATCAAAGACATGTAACGAACTAAAAACGTTACAATAAAAAATATAATTTTTTAAATGGACATAATTGGCTATGAACTTAAAAAAAGCTGGCTTTTAGCCCTTTCCAACGATATAAAGTTATGGGTATCTATTTCTAAGAATAAGAGAAATATTAGATTTTTTATCTTTGTATCAAAGCTGGCCTTGATTTTATATTGGCCTAGTTGCCGAATTATTTTTTATTACAATTTAATATTCTATATTATTATTTATCTGCATAATTAAAGACTTTTGAAAAGGTAAATCAACATTCTATATTAGTATTACCAATTACAATTAAAACGCCAGGGTTACAACTGAACTATTAAATGGAGAATTTAGTGAGATTTGGATTGATTGGAACAAGGAACCCCATATTTTAGCCTGCTAGGTCCTGTGATTTAACTCTTTTCGACTTTTTCATGGGGGAAATTAAAAGACCTTATATTTAAGGGCAGAAACATTGGGACGAGAAAAGAATTGCAGAAGGCTACTAGGAAAGCTTTTGGTCTTATTACGCCAGCTCAGTGGCGGATACAGAGGGGGGCCCATGGGGCCCGGCCCCCCCCTAAAATCTGTAAATTGGGTTAAATATTAGGCTTTTGGATTAAAAATGGCGCCCTAAAAGGCATATTTTGCATTATTTTTTATTTGGCCCCCCCCCTAAAATAAATTTCTGTATCCGCCCCTGCACCAGCTCGTTGTAACTCTGTGCGCAAAAGAGGTTTATTGTGTATTCAACAAGGAGGTGCTTAGTTTGAATATCTTTGATAATTTTTTTTTTTTTGATAATTTTTTTGTTCTTTGTTTATTGTATCGATTTCAATTGTAATTGTAATTACTAATACTAATATACAGGGTGTTTCAAAACAAATGCGAAAAACTTTAGGGGGTGATTCCTTGTTCAAAATAAAGGGTAGTTTGCTTTATAAACGTTGGGTCAAAAGTCTACCATTAGGGAGATATCGCGGTACAAAGATGGCGGAAAATTAATGTTTTTATTTTTTATCTTGAAAACAAAAAGAGATAGATTAATGAAATTTTATGGAAGCATTACTGTTATGAAAACACACTTTCTGGTAATTTTTTCACTTTTTTAAAATGAGTGGAAGGGGTTGAAATAAACTACCCCTATCATTCTTGTTAACGAAATTTAAAGAAAAATCTTATCAAACACATGCAAATGCTTTAATTTTGATAGTTTAGTTTGTTTAGAAACTTTTTTATCTCTTGTGTTCTTTTGATAAAACTCACCGATTTGAAATTAAAAAATAAAATGTAAAGCATTACATGTCAGGACAAAGAACATTTTTAGATTAAGAATCTAGTGATAATAACGATAATAATAATCATCTAGATAAAATCGTATTGCAGTAGAGTAATGTCAAATAAAATAATATTAGGAACATCCTAAAAAGTAACAGCGGCCGACTAGATTTTTTTCTAAAAAATTACAGCAGCCCGCTAGATTCTTTATCAGAAAATGTTTTTTGTCCTGACATGTAATGCTTTACATTTTATTTTTTAATTTCAAATCGGTGAGTTTTATCAAAAAAATACAAGAGATAAGAAAGTTTCTAAACAAACTAAACTATCCAAATTAATTTTTTTGCATGTGTTTGATAAGATTTTTCTTTAAATTTCGTTAACAAGAATGATAGGGGTAGTTTATTTCAACCCCTTCCACTCATTTTAAAAAAGTGAAAAAATTACCAGAAAGTGTGTTTTCATAACAGTAATGCTTCCATAAAATTTTATTAGTCTATCGCTTTTCGTTTTCAAGATAAAAAATAAAAACATTATTTTTCCGCCATCTTTGTACCGCGATATCTCCCTAATGGTTGACTTTTGACCCAACGTTTATGAAGCAAACTACCTTTTATTTTGAACGAGGAATCACCCCCTGAAGTTTTTCGCATTTGTTTTGAAACACCCTGTATAATGGTAATTTACCTTTTCAAAAGTCTTTAATTATGCATAATATAAAACATTAAATTGTGATAGAAAATAATTAGGCAAAAATGTCAACACAAAATCAAGGCCCGCTTCGATGTAAAGATAAAAAACCTAATATTTCTCTCATTCTTAGAAATAGATACCTATAACTTATATCGTTGGAAAGGGTTAAACGCCAGCATTTTTTTAAGTTCATAGCCAGCTATAATTTCCATTTAAAAAAATATATTTTTTATTATTTCTGCAAAAAAGAGCAAGTATAGAAAAAAACTGACTACGCCACTGGATTGTACTTAAAAAAGTGCATCAAGAACGTTTTTACAGAATTTTATTATTCCGCGAAATACAAAAGTTATGGGCAATTTTCCAAATGAATTTCTCAGAAGATTTTCCTTGATTTAAGTAAGAACAATCTTCGTATTGTTGCGAAACCAGTCCCGCTTTAATATGACCTAGAAGAGTCTAGAAATTCGAGAACACAGCGGCTAAGAGTTCTCCAGCACCGCCCAGAGCGTTCTAGACTCCGTCGCACGCCTATATAATATACCGACGCCGCGCGCCGCACGGTGGAAAGACACAATATAAAATGTTGGACATTGACTTAAAAATAAAATTTTAAATTAAATAATTTTGGTAGAAGATTTTAATTACTTAAAGTCCAGACCGTTATATTTTATCCAACTCAAAAAAATATTTTTAATTATATGTCTGTTTGAAAAGTTTCAAATGAAGATATTACACTGACTTAATTATGGTATTCATTTCTTGTGAAACAACCTAGTTTTATAAAAAGTGGCAAAGACATTAATAATTTTTTTAACCATACATATATTAGTGCAAACGATTGTTTTCACTTTAAAGTAAAAGATATATATAGTCACAAAAGTTTGGGAGAACAATTATTGTATATAAGAGACACATAAACATTTTTTTTTACTAAATACTAGATTTAGTACCAAAAAAATATGTATGTAGAAAAATAAAAAAAATGGCCAAAGTTGGCCAATACTTTATATATGTCACAAGGTAGATTAAGCCTTTCTAATAACGAAACTAATTTAATATCTTGCCCCAGCTTGCCCCCTCTAAAAATTTCCATTTAATATATTACTAATACATGCTATACTAAAATCAAAAACCTTTTCAATTCCAATAAATCAAATTATCTTTATCAAGAGTCAAATTATCTTTATTTTCTTATAAATTTATTAATATTTAATTATTAATTGGATAAATACAAAATGACGCTTAAATCAAAAACAGATACAGGGTGCTACAAATATATGGAAAACTTATAAACTATTGGAAAAAGAAAAAGGGTTAAAGTGCAGCGTTCAGCTTTTTTGTTTGTGTTAAAAATATTCTAGTGCGTAGATTTACTGTTATATTCTTTGCTTATAATAAAGTTAGTGTACAGGGTGTCCTACTAAGAATAGCTCTCGGCTATATCTCGGAAAGTATTAGCTGTGAGGCCTGCGGAAAAAAATATTCATAACTAAAGAGGCTATGAGAAATTGCTGGAAATTATTTTCAAGTTTGTAGAATGGCCGCTAGAGGGTGCAACTGCTATAGAAAAATAAGAAAATGGAGTTTTTACACAATTTTGCCTTCTCCATATTATACCATATAAACAATAATAGTAAGCTTTTGAACGTAGACGCTAGGGGGCGCTGTCTTACAATTTAACAAACATTGAGCGTTTTTTCAAAAAAATTAAATGCGATGGTATATGTAATTTTAGCTGACAGTAAAGAGTAACGAAAGCTTAAAAGGTCAGTGAAAACCGCATCTTGATATCTTCTTTCAAACCGAAGATATTAGCAAAATTATATTAAATAGGAAAATATAAGCAGTGCACCATATACACATAAATATACACATAAATATATGCGTCATATTTTTATAATACGGTATCAGTAGTCCTAGATTTCAGTGGTAAAATCTAAAGATATTTCTTTTTAAAAGAATCAAAACTAAAACATTTCACGACAGTTTGGCAAAGTTTATTAGCATTTAAAAATTCTAAGATTTTTCCAAAACATACTATATTTTTAGGTCACCCTGTAGATGGTTTGTAATGAGTCAACCACTTTCTTTCATTAAAATTTAAAATTGTTCTGTTTATACATTATTACGGTATATAAAAATCATTTTTTCGTCCTTTGGATTAAAAGTGTTGAGAAGAAAACCTCATGTCCAACCGCTCCCATAAGCTCGTTCCACTGTGCGCCGGTGCGCAAGGGACAGACGATAATAAACTACAGTGTGCTACGGTCGAGGATTCTTGTTTTTGCTCTAAATAAATACGGTAGATAAATAAGTTTGTAAATATAGTTATAAATAGTTCTTTAAGTCTTTTATCGTTATTGTTTTTGTTAATTAGTGTTAAATATATTTATTTAACACTATTGTGTTCAAATAAATTGTGACTTTCTATCCACACGGAACCGACGAAAAACGTAACAATCGGTGTCAGCTGTGGGATGTGTGATAGACTAGAAGAATAAAAAGACTAACCATGGCTCTGAAAAAATTGTTGAAAGACTTGAAAGTGTCCGAACTGAAATGAAAGAAGAGGGTGTCATCGAACCATCTAACAGCCCGTGGACATCGCCGGTAGTACTAGTAAAGAAGAAAGAGGCTAATCAACACATACCACCAGGTTCTGTGTTGATTATCGGCAGCTCAATAATGTTACCAAGAAGGATAGTTATCCCCTGCCGAGGATAGACGATACTCTAGACATGCTGGCGGGGTCAACGATATTCTCTACGTTAGATCTGAAGAGTGGATATTGGCAAGTCGACATGGCGCTGAAAAACAGAGAGAAGACAGCGTTCTCGGTGGGCTCCGGACTGTGGCAATTTACCGTCATGCCTTTTGGATTGTGCAACGCGCCAGCTACCTTTGAGAGACTAATGGAGTCTGTGTTAAAGGGACTATCCTGGACTACCTGTTTAGTGTAACTGGATGACATCATAGTGGTTGGGAAATCCTTTAACGATCATCTGAAGAATTTGGAAGAAGTTTTCAAGCGACTAGGGAGCTCTGGTTTGAAACTTAGCCCCAAGAAATGTCATCTGTGTCAAGAAAAGGTACACTACTTGGGACATGTAGTCTCCTCCCAAGGAGTTGCGGTAGATCCACAGAAGACCAAGACAGTGGAAGAGTGGCCAATACCTAAAGATAAACATGAACTACGAAGCTTTTTGGGACTATGCACATACTATCGCCGCTATGTACAGGGTTTCGCCACCATCGCAAAACCATTGACCAGACTTACCGAAGGCGAGAGGCGTTTCTCTTGGGACTCAGATTCTGACGAGACATTGCGAAAATTGAAGAAGGCCCTGACTAGTGCGCCCATACTTAGCTACCCTCTTGGCAACGGAAACCTTATATTGGATACCGACGCTAGCAATGTTGCGTTAAGCGCTGTTCTGTCTCAGATCCAGGATGGTCAAGAAAAAGTCATTGGTTATTTTAGTAAGACCTTGTCAAAACCGGAAAGGAACTACTGTGTAACCAGACGAGAATTACTAGCAGTAGTTAAAGCAGTGGAACTGCTGAAGCAGTTAAAGCAGATCAAGAAGCGTCCACGTCTGATGCCCTTGTTAAAGAATGGATCTGCAGGTTTGGTGTTCCCATGGAGCTTCATTCAGATCAGGGAAGAAACTTTGAGTCCAATCTGTTCCAAGGCGTCTGTGAAGTCCTGAACATCCGCAAGACCAGGACGACTGCTCTACATCCACAATCCGATGGGATGGTTGAACGCATGAACAGAACTATCAACCGTTATCTGGCCAAAGTAGTCTCTGACCACCAAAGAGACTGGGACAAATTTCTTCACCTGTTCCTGTTGGCCTACCGTTCATCCGTCCAAGAATCTACAGGGCAAACTCCAGCCAGCATCGTTATGGGACGGGAAGTGCGCCTACCCTGTGATCTGAAATTTGGTTGCCGACCGGGAGAAGAAGTCGCCGGAGAAGATTATGTCCACACACTACGTCAAAGGATGGACGACATTCATCAGAGAGTCCGCCTAAATATTCAAAGTGCTAGTGACCGAATGAAGGAACACTACGACATTCAAGCTGAGCATGGAGGATACCAACCAGGGAAGTTGGTGTGGCTATATAACCCGCAGAGACGTCGTGGGTTATCTCCGAAGCTACAATCCTCGTGGGAAGGGCCATACGAAGTCATGGATAGAATTAATGACGTCGTATACCGTATCAGAAAATTGCCAAAAGGAAAACCGAGGGTAGTCCATTTCAACCGTTTGAGCCCCTACCAAGGCGAAATAGAAGATCGTGCTGGGACCGTGAGAACCTGCAGCTTTGATCCCCCTGATTCGGAGATGTCCTTTGACGATTTCATGGCCCGATACAACAGCAGTGAGAAGGCTCGCTATGGTGTAACCAAAGAAGATCAACGAGACCTCTTTTCCGTGCCTCCTGATTATTCGCTCGCTCATTGTGTGGCCCGAGATTTGCGGATATCCAGAGGAATCGCTGCGACGTTCAATGAGAGATAAAGTTTGGGCGTGGCGGAGAACTACGCCGACAGGATCCAGAGGTTGGAAGCGTCTTGAGGCTAACCGACAATGCACATGGTCAAGCAAGACACATCTTCTACCTGGTCACCAAGGAATGGTCCCCGAGTAAGCCGACTTATCTCAATCTATGGAAGACCCTGATTGAACTGAGAGAAGCCCTGCTAAACAACAACATTGCACGATTAGCCATTCCGAAGCTGGTGTGTGGACGCGATGGTTTGAGTTGGCGTACAATCCGGAACATGATTGAAGTCTTGTTCAGATTTACGGGAATCGAGATTCTTGTTTGCTGCTACAACCCAAAGCTGAGATCAGGCGAGAAAACTGTAGACTGTTATTTCTACCAGACTTCTCAATGTACCAGGGGCCAGCTTTGCAAGTACCTTCATTCACCGTGTACATCTCGGGACGAGCATGTATCTAAGGAGGGGGCAGTGTTGCGAAACCCGCTTTAATATGACCTAGAAGAGCCTAGAAATTCGAGAACACAGCGGCTAAGAATTCTCCAGCACCGCCCAGAGCGTTCTAGACTCCGTCGCACGCCTATATATATACCGACGCCGGCGCCGGTGCGCAAGGGACAGACGATAATAAACTACAGTGTGCTACGGTCGAGGCTTCTTGTTTTTGCTCTAAATAAATACGGTAGATAAATAAGTTTGTAAATATAGTTATAAATAGTTCTTTAAGTCTTTTATCGTTATTGTTTTTGTTAATTAGTGTTAAATAAATAGTGTTCAAATAAATTGTGACTTTCTATCCACACGGAACCGACGAAAAACGTAACAGTATTATAACGGAGTTTTTAACAGGACACTGTCACTTCATCTTCAATGAACACCTCAGTAGATTAAAGCTAAGAAATAACGGCGAATGCAGATTCTGTGGGAAAAATGGGGAAACACCAGAACACCTCATCACTGAGTGCGCCGAGACGACAACCATTCGTGACATAAACTTTGGTACGTCTGATATCGAAGTACATTCACATGTTGAATCACATTCAAAGTGGTTAGTTGTTGGAACAAGATTAAATTCTTCATATAACAAACTTAATCAAAATTGTTCTATGCAAATTAGTATTAACATTCATCTTACCGCAAATTTGTTCAGCATTAGTCTTTTCGACTCTTTGTTCAGGAGATCGTATAATGCTAACAAGCTAACATAGGCTTTTGTAGGAGGAACTTTTTTTTGACGGAGTAGCTCATATCTGAAATGGGAGTCAGGATCCTCAAAATCTCTCGAGAATTCTAATACTTGGTAGTCTTCTATGGAATTGGGTTTATCATCATCTATTCTAAAAACAAAATTTATACTTGAGGGGTTGAGTTTATCATCATCTATTCTAAAAACAAAAGTTATACTTTAGGGGTTGAGTATCAAAACTCGTCTTCTCCATTTTTGGTAATTTTTCTATAACAAGTTTTGTTACCAACGGATAAGATTTTGGATAAGATTAGTTTTAGAACAAATGAACGACTTTAACGTGTAAATTATACAGGATAGAATGAGTTATGCCACAAAATTTTTACTAATTATTATTGGCAGGGTGGCCAATATTAGGGTATATATATATTTTCTCAAAATTACCAAAAAATGGAAAAGACGAGTTTTGATTCTCAACCCCCTCACTTGTATTATTGAAATATAATCAAGCACTTCATTATATTGTATTATATTTTAAAATAAATAAAGCAACAAAATTAATACTTATATAAAAATATTCACCTGTTGGCTAAACGAATAACATCCCCAAATCCTTTACCCAAATAATTATCAATATCGGTGGGAATATCTTCTGATTGACTAAAGGTCCTGCCCTGCTGAGTGTAAATGTTCATCAGAGTGTCGTACCTGTCAAAATAATTTGGACCACTAGGCTGCCGCTGTCGGTTCACATATTCATCATACAAATCTTCTGCAAAATTAAATCAAAGTTATTCGTAGTAATTCTAAGTGTGTATAAAATAGAATAATTTTGATGAAAAATAAAAACGACGGCATTTCTGGTTTTGGGTGCCGATGTTCGTGTGTACGAAGAGTACGGTCAACACGCTTAGTAAAATAAGATGTACTGAATAAAGACAGAAGGCAAGTATTTTCCCAAGCGCATGGAATCTAGCGTCAGTGTAATAAATACTTCGTATTTTTGCTCTCCCTGACTTACTAGATTGCCATAGCGATTCACTCCAAACATGTAAACGCCGACCCAAGGTTTCGCTTGCAGGCAGGGTACATTTATATTAAGGTGTTTATTTAAAGTAAATTGTAAATTATTATATTAAAAGTTTCAGATTTTACCGATGATTGTATACAAGATATAAATAAATAGGTGCAAAAAAATTAGCGAAAGTACAAAAAAAAATTGGCGCCGGGAGGCACGTATAGCCGCCCATACTAAAATATGTTAATATCTCGAAAACTGCGACTTTGACTGATTTTGATGCTATTACAAATATTGTTGCAAATATTATTCCTAATCTTAATTTGAAAACCGCGTTTCGCTAGCTACTGTAATTTTGGAGTTACGATTTTTTTAAATTTTTAACCCCTCCCATACCCCCTTACCAACCCCCCACCCCCACCAAAAACACTAATGGCCAGATTCCAGATTTTGTGCCAAATTTGGTTAAAATCGGTTCAGCGGTTTTTGAGTTATCGTGTTACAGACGGATAGACGGACAGGCAGACAGACAGACAGACACCATGAAAATATTTTGTATTTAGGTCATTTATAATCCAAATAATTCATTTTGAGTGAAATTAAAAAAACTTTTTTTGCCGATCTTAATAGCCTACGATACCTATTGGTATGGTCGGCTAAAAATAATGAGAGTATAATTTTTTTAATTTGGCGCTTTTCTATAAAGTTTATACAATATTATGTATGTAGAGTAACCCAAAAATCACAGACACACTAGCCCATAAATGTAATGTCATAATGCTCATATTCTCATATTATCAGATAAATTGTAGTTTAAGATGGCTTTTGTTTATTTATGAATTCAGTGAGCATTTTTGTAAGGTTATTGAATTTAACTTTTTTCATAGTTAAATTTTGTTCCATTCCTAAAGACGGGATGTGATTAGTGATTTCCATACACCATTTTATCAACTTCCTAGCATAAATCGTTTATGAAAAATTAATTTTTTTGTTATTATGTTTCACCATGTTTAGTTACTTTCCTTTGTAGTAGAAAAGCAATAAATCTTTAAAAATCAAAGAAGCAATTGTTTCTACAATGTTTCACGATTCTTCATTTACACCTTGTATATTAATAATAAGTTGTTTGATAATGTACTTACTGCTGCTTAAAGATGTAGATCCCACCGGATTTTCAGGTGCAAAAATGCCTGGTTTATGTGAAGGCGTTGGTCTTATTGTAGTGGATGTTGTAGTTGATGTTCCTAAGATCAAGAAAGTATCATTTGTTACTTATATGATTTAGAAATTTAGAACGCAATAACATATTACTATACCAGGTGCATCTCAAAAGTGGCTCACCCCTAAAACTTTTTTATTTTTTTTTAGATAAAAAAACGAGATTTGGTATCTACTTATTTTTGTTCACTTCGTGTTTCACCGGAAATGACTACAACTTTTGAATTTTAAATGAAACCCTCGGTATTTTTTTATTTTAATAGGTAGAAAATGACACTCTGAATAGAATGACATATTATATGTCAACTTTTGACATTTTCGCATATGGTTTATTCGAAATTGTAACATGCAGTTCATAACGACAATTTGACTCGAAATATGAAGTGTGTGGTACCAAATTATTCGTAAAAAATGCTTTTTCCAAATATGTTAACGAGTCACTCTTTTTCCATTTGAAAAAAATTGAGATGTGATTAAAAATACGATTTGGGCATTTTTTAACCGGTCAGGACAAGACACGAAAAACATTAGACGCTCAAATCTATTTTTCCAAGGCTCTTTGATTAAAAATTAGTGTTTTTAACACAGCCATGGCACTCTAGATTGAAATTTAAAATACGATTTTTTAAGCGAAAATTTCAAAAAACATGTCAATGTCAAAAAAACCAAATCATTCTACTCAGAGTATCATTTTCTATCGAATAAAGTAAAAATATACCGAGGGTGTCATTTAAAAATCAAAAGATGTATTTCCGGTAAAACGGGAAGTGGCAAAAAAACAATTGAATACGCCAATAAACTAGCCTTAGTTTTATAATTTTATATATTTTACCTTGTACTGGTTTAATAACATACTTCATCAACTCTGTATCGTGTGCAATTATCTGCATAGCTGCAGGAATATAAGAGCTGGAAAATTTTGGATTTGTTTCTACCCTTGGAGGCCCTCGTAATATTACCTCTCCATTAGATAACTGAAACGAAATCAATATTTGTTAATGTAAAAATAACGGAATTCAATCAACTTAATGAGCTATTAGTTTTTACTAACTAGTTCTTATAACACGTTCGGATACATTTTATTTAGTAGAATAGTTTTTGTTTATAAGGATCTTTTTTATTTAATCTTTTTGTTAAATGACCTCTGTTGCCTAATCTATAAAGCTGTTGTTATTTGATATATTTATATCGATAAGCGATTAGAGAAAATAGGAGCATTTAAATTTATGGAGAAGAATGGAAAAGAAAGAGGAAAACAATAGATAAAACTTAACCTAGTTACTCAGTTTGGCATGCGGTTGACCCTTATTTGTTTCTATTTCTTGTATCATTTTACAAACAAGTTTCTTTTAAATTTATAGAACCTATATAAGAAATATGAAAGGCATTTAAATGTAAGTATGTCATCTCTAGGCTTCTTAAATTAAATATGTTTGTTTACAAAATCCCCCCTTTCAATTTTATAGTTGCACATATTTTATAGATATTTGAAAATTAAAAATTAGAATGGGCTCTAATATCAATCGAAAACAAAATAAAATAGTCCAGTTAACAAAAATTAACAATATTGTTTATAAACCAATAAAATAGATTAAATAACAAAGAAGGTTCAAGGTAGTTTGTTCGATTCCCACACACGGCATTGCATCAGCCGACTATTTTTATTAAAATAAAAATAGTTGGGTACCTAGGTCGGCTCAGCCTTAAATGAGTACTTGGGATTCACCATCCTGAGATAATAATAGGCGGTTGAAGCGTAGTGCTAGCTACATTACCTTCCTTGTATACCGAACGGCTCTAGCACAGAATATCTAGCTACGCGTAGCTAGATATTCTGTGGCTCTAGTCTGGCAAGCTGTACCTTGCTACGCCCAAGGCGTTAAACGCTATATACGGGAGCTATTATTATATAAATAACAAAGAAAATAAATTTCAAGATATTTGTTATTCTAAATATCTTGAAATTTATTTTCTTTGTTATTATTATTTATCAAAAACATAAAAATATCAGTTTAGTAAACATAAATATATTGAACTACATGATAAGCAAAACACTTTTTAATGGTACTGAGTTTTCAGTTTGATTAATGAAAAATCTGTTTACATGCAGTGTGTTTTCAAAATAAAGTATTTGGGATATATTTATCATTTTTGTTATTTTATATTTGTTAATGGATATTTTTGTAACAATGAACAATTATATCATTCAGCGAATTTTTTCTTTTATCTTTTTAATTCCGTTTTTATTAAATTTCAGCCCATAAACATACGTAAATTAGACATCTTTTAAGTCATCTTTCTTAATTAATATGAGTTTATATTGTCTTGGGTACACTAACCAGAAATAGAGTCATAACTCCAATGGGACATTATTAACGGATACTAAGATGCCATTATTTCTTCTACTTTTTATGGGTAACAACTAGGGTTCAGACATTAACTCCTATAATTTGTAGGAGTTAATGGTTCAGATCCGGGAAATCCCAGTACTGAAAGAACCGGAAATCCCCAGTTCTTTTGAGACATCAAAGAACCGGAACTCGAAAGTATTAATTCCCGGTTCTTTCGGTACTTTCGGGACTCGGTAATAATAATTAAAAACATATGTTTTGTTAACGTGCGAAAGACTTTTGATACTTTCTAGCGGTCGAAATCAAACTCTTCTAATTAATTAGTGATGCTATCTCTTAACCGTTCTTACTTCTGAAGTTATTTTGAAATTTCTATAATGTTTATTAGCAATTATTGAAGTTTCAATATATGTTATTTTATTATTTAGTATAATATTGTTGAATGTATTAGTTACATTTTTTGTGTTATGTTTTTATAGGCATTTGCATCTTTAATTGAAAATGTTTTAACTTAACTAAACATACTTAACTTAACTTTGAAAAAAAAGTTTTTTTTTTCAAATTTAGTTAAGTTGGTTTCGAGGTTGGTTGATGTTGTTTGATGTAATTTTTGAGCTACCTATGTGTTTTCTTTTTTTTTCGCTTGTGTTCATTATTTGTGTTCATGTCTACTTTTTCATGACTTAATAATTTGATATTATTTCCATTTGAAACTCAATTTTTTATCGGTTCTACTTTTGAGAACCATCCCTTGCTTGCTAATTGACGAACTACACAATCATTGAACAAAAATATTTTAGTACGGTTCCGGAAAAACTCTAATTAATACTACCAAGGTTCAGATCTTTTTGGCCATCAGAGAACCGGGCCTCGGTAATAATAATTATAAAATTATTTTTTGTTACGTCCTTTGATACTTTCGAGCGGTCGAAATCAAACTCTTCTAAATAAGAAAATAAGTAATGATGCTATTTCTTATTGCTCTTGCTGTTCTGCTTTGAAGTTCCTATAATATTTATTATGTTATGTTTTAATAGATATTTACATTTTTAATACAATATTTTAGGGCTTTTGTTTCAAATTCACTGAAGTTGGTTTATATTGATTGCTGTGAAATTTAAGTTACCTATACTTTTTTCTTTACTTGTGTTCATGTTAATTTTTTCCTGACTGATTACTTAATAATTTGATATTATTTTTTATTAAAAATCTCAATTTTTTTATACATTTTACTTTGAACGCCCATCCTTTGCTTTCTGATTGATGAATTGCACCACAAAATAATAATTGAACAAAAATTAGTCCGTACCGAAAATACCGAAAAAAATGGAAAATCCCGGTTCCTGTACCGGAATTCCCGGTTCCGAAAAACAGCTCCGGTTCCGGAAACCCTAGTAACAACCATGCAATACAATAGAGAGATTTTCAGTAATAATATAAAATGAAAATGGACACACATCTAACTACTCTAATAATTTATTTAGATCATTAACGTCGCATATAATAAATTTACAAGAGAACAGTTTTATCGACATATCCGCTACTTCAATATTTTCTGTCCCAGCCACTGAATGTATTTTTATATTCCTTTTGGTGAATATTGAATTCACCTTTAGGCGCGGAAGTAACACTTGTCGTGCTTCTTCAGTTTTTTTAAAATATTTCTTCCATTTTAATAGAAACGTACTCGAACCTGTGCGAATTCATGCAAAAGGCGTTTTTTTTTGACAAAACAACTGAATTCTATTGACAAAAAACCGTCAATGTATAAACAGGTTTTCCAATACAATAGTAACCTGGCAACAAATTTCCTACCAGCAGCGTTAATAAAAAAATGCCGGCAGATTAAAAAATAAATGCATAACATTTACATCGTTTTAAAATGGAACAACATATGGCTAAATACCCTCGGCCCTCGGGACCTAAATTTTACCCTCGGTCTTTTAGTCTAGTCTAGTCTTTTTCTTTTATTAATAATATCGTACTTCCAGTGACAAATTTTGGTGATCATTATAATTAGTACAGTCAATCTGGCACTTTAACTCCCATCAAATTACCCCCGCTCTCATACTTTGCCAGTTGTAAGTGGTCCACTGGAAAACCTTAAATTCGAAAATTCGTATCCACCCACCCTTCCGTATTTGAGAAACTCAAAAAAATTAGATCCGATTTTTTGGCTGAACCGTAAGTCCTAAAGAAAATTTTGTGGCACTTGTAGATGTAGAGAATTAAATTCTCTACATTTTCATTTCTAAGTAACAAACCTCTAAAACCTACGGGGACAAAGTTAGAGGGCGCCAAAGTTAGCCAAACGCAGTTTTTGCATTTTTCCTGGCGAAACCATTTTTTTAACTGAGTTAACTTTTTTTGTTGCCAGATTGACAGTACTACATTTTTAATGTTATATTTTGTATCTTTTATCAGTTCTATATTTCTTACTGTATGTAGATATGTATATTTACTTGTGTATGTGTTGTGTATTTTAAATGGATAAGTAAATAAATAAATAATTAATTAAATATGTACTGTTATTAATAATGTTCTTATAAAAATGTACCTTTGTTAATTTAAAAAGAGATCTGGTACTACTTATAATTTGAGAGAATTTTATACAAATAAAACAAAGTTATTTGGAAAATATCATACAACCATCATTATCCATACTTAATACGAGAACTTAATTTTACAGTAAAATATTTTATTGCTGTTCAAATAAGAATTCAATTTCATACAATAATTAAATTCAAGTAAGAATAAATTAAGGTAACGGCATAATACAAATAGGTACGTACCCCAATTAAACAAATAACACTTAAAACAATATACATCTCGTTAAAAACTATGTTGCTTCTAAATTTAAAAACAAATCACTAATATCACAGCAAAAATATCATAAAAATCACATTTATGTACCGGTTTCCTATCTGAAACACTCGGTCGAATTTCTATATTATTGACATTAAGCGGGCCATTTCTGTGAAACCTGAATTTCGATTGACAAAATACGTATACATACGACTTTAGGAAGACATACACGTACAGCAGGAGACCGAGAAAGGTAATGGCAGTGGCAGCGCATTACAATTTTTTACTCGTATTTTATCGAAATCTTAATAATATTAATAATAATATATATTTATTTATCCACAAATATGATCAATATACACTGAATTTGGATATGTCAAATAAAAGGAAGATATAAAAAAATGAATCTAAGATTAAATAAATACAAACAAGACATAAAATATGTATAAACACTAAATGTATAAAAGTAAAAAATTATTTATTAAAATAGTCCATAAATTCAGAAATGCTATAAAAACAATGTTGAATTAAAATTTCTTTAATTGTTTTTCTAAATACTTGAAAACTGGTAATATTACGCTCTTCACATGGTAGCATATTAAAAAAATGTTTACTGGCAAACGAAGGAGATTTCTTATGCCGGCTATACGATACTTTGCCGATACAGAACAGTTCCCTGTTTCTAGTTCCATAGTCATGGACGTCAGCAATCGTTTCATAGGAGTTTCTGTTTTTGAATGCATAATATAGAATGCTTAGGAGATATATGGATATAAACGTTAATATCTTTTTTCTTTAAAAATACTTCTGCACGATTGCAAGGGTGTCAAACCGTACATTAAGCGGAGTACCCGCTTTTGGGCAATAAAAACTCTTTGGCTGCCAGTTGCACAACCGTGAACTGCTATATTATAGGACATAGCGGAGTATATCAGTGCGTAGTATGCACTGAAAAGACCCTCTTCATTAACCGAGTCTCTCAAATTGAGGAGTGCGTATAATAACCCTTATTTAATTTCTTGCACACAATTTCTATTTGATCTGACCAGCTCAAAGTTTCATTAAGTGTAGTTCCCAAAAATTTTACAGTTTTTTCTGGTTTAATAACAACATTTTTATCTAGACTTATAAATAATTTTCTTGTATTGGATTTTGACTAAAATAGAAATGAACACACAGTTTTAGAATGGTTTATCACTAACTTATTTCTATTGCACCATGCGCTAAATTGTTGTATAACCATTTTGACTTATTATATAATTCGTTTTCTGTCTTTGCTGACAACATTACCGAAATATCATCGGCATACAAAAACACCCGACCTGTTGTTATGTAGTCAGGTAGGTGGTTAATAAAAATCAAAAACAGCAACGGTCCCAGGACACTGCCTTGGGGAACACCGGACTCTATAACAAAACTGGAAGATTTTACTTCATTTATTTTTACAACGAGGTCTCTATTGCTTAAATACGATCTTATCCAACCAGCAAGGTTTCCTCTTAAACCTACTGCTTGCACTTTCTCCATAATAAACTCGAAGTCCAAACTATCGAAAGCTCGAGAAAGATGAAAAAACAAACCCACGACCAACTCTTTATTTTCCAGTCTATCGTGAATATATTGTACAAGGCAAGAAGTAGTTGTTTCTGTTATTCAATTTAAATACCCATTTTTTAAATGTTAATTTAAATGTTAATTTCGTGGTACTTTGTACAGGTTGTCCCATTTTTGTGTGTTTTACAAGGTTTCTCGTTTATGAGCAGCGGTACAAAGATACGGTTTTCACAGTAGTTGCTACTTTTTATGAAACTAAAGGTGGTAAAAACATATTTGATGCCGCTGTTAAAAATTGACGATAAAAATATATGAAAATAAGACTAAAATCTTTTCTAAAAAGGCTTAAACCTCATAAAAGACTTAAATATTTTAAAAGATTTAAGTCTTTTGTAAAATGACTTAAATCGTTAAAAAAAGATTTAAATCTTTTTTAATGACTTAAATGTTTTCTAAAAAAACTTAAATCTTTTAAAAAACTTAAATCTTTTTAATGACTTAAATATTTTTCTATTTCGTACTAAAGTGTGTAATAGCCCTATTCATTTTGAAAATGACTTAAATTTGAAATTGGCGTGCAAAGTTTGCCGACCAATGGTGCCGTTTATCACCTGTGACGTAGTGACCAACCTGCGCAATATCATATCTTGTATTCTTTGTATCATGGGCGGAACTAGATCCGGGATGCAGGTCCAAGAAGCTTGATGTAACTGCGGATCCGACTCTTTTAAAATACCATCTCTAGTCTTTGGTCAATAAATTGCAACGCTGCCACTGGTAAATTCTTGCAAGTTTAAAAACCAGTCTTGGAGTATTGTTCGTCGTTGACGTTGTTGTAAAACAACAGTTTTGTTTTTCGTACAAATCAAATGCAGAGCGAGAAAAGAACGAACACATTTTTTGTGTTGTATTTTTACGATTTAGCCGTTGAAATAAAAATGCCATCTCATTATATAAATCGCTTTAATGACATAAACTAATAATAGTACTAATTAAAATTTCATTGTCTTTTAGCGAAATATACCATATGACTAAAAAATATTTTTATCAAGCGTGTCTCATACATTTTATCATAATATGGTATATCCAATTTTTATAAAAACGTAATAAAATAAATCAATTTTTATTAGACATAAAAAAGTGGTCTTAAAGATATAAAACTGTCTATCCCTCTAGATTTATCTTTTCAAAAAAGTCCTACGGGTCCTAAGAAAATCTACAAAATAAAATAGTTATTTTTATCCAACGGAGACTAATTGTCAGCAGCCCAAGTAGCATTTGGACGTTACCTAACGTCGGGCATACGTCGCGTTCAATAAACCCGACGTCGGGTACCAACGTCGGTTCGACCGCCTGACAACCCTTATTTGCACCTAAATGGGGAATACAGATTCGGGTCGCCTCGACGTCGGTATCTGACCTAATAGGGAATGTAATTCTACCAATTACCAACGCCATATTACGTTGGATTTTAGTTACTTAAAATTCGTCGCTAAGCACTTACGTTACGTTTGGTTTCATATTCGCTACCAAGAATACATAAAAACCTAACCAAACTACCTAATTACAAATGGATTCATAATCACTCCTCGAATATAACTATAAGTGCCTATCTAATTTCATATTATAATAATTCTGAATCATTAATCCAGAATCAGTTTTGTCAACGGAAGTCACTTTTTTGATATATCTGATTAAAATACTCCAGAAAACAACGAGCGCCTTCAAAATTAGGTAGATTTATGAAATAAAAATATCTATAAAAAAGTTACTCGCAAAATATTTTTTTAATTTTCTAGCTGGTTTAATCATAAAACTCTACTGTGGTTCCCCCCAAACTCAACCTTATCAATATTATTCTACTAGAAATCGAAATGTGAATATAAATTTTAAAAACAAAAAAAGATTTTAAAATGGCTGAAAATCGGATACGTGTTAAGATTGGCGGATTTCTGTGTCCGACTTAATATGAACAACCAATATACCAATTCCGACCGGGTCACCAACATTAGTCGTCTCACACGACCGAAGTCATCAAACCGGACGACCGGCAATCGTATTATGACGTATATAATTCCAACGTACGCCACGTAACCTCACTTTGCGTATCAGTGATTTGTGGATTTGTGCAACTATAATTTAGTTTTTGTTTTCTCCTTAAAAAAATGGGCAGCCACTTTTTTAAGCCTAACCTCACATGTGGGAGGAGGATCGGGTCTGCTGGTTTCCGAAGCTAAAAACTGAAATTAAGATGCACCAGTGTAATGCAGCATCTCTTCTGGATAAAAATCATTTATGAATGGAGGCAAGACATCACTACTACTATTATTATTTTGCAAAAGCCTCGACCTCTTTCTGTAAAATGTAGATGAATGTCTAAATGCCTTTTTAGTGTTTTTTAGGCATAAGTTTGTTTACAAAAACTTTTTATTAGGTTATGTTCATGATGTTCATTAGGTCGCAAATGCTACTTAATGGGTTGTATTTACGGACGTAAATAGAGATACGTAAATTAGGTTATAAATATGAACATAAAATACAACAAAATATAATTGGACGTTACTTTAGGGATTATCAGTGAGACGTATCCTATTCGGACAACGGGTAGACGTCGGGCTAGTTTAAGTATATGTACGTCGTGCAAGCCAACGTGGGAACGACGTTGGGAAATTAATAAAAATGGTACGTTGTTATTTTGTACGTCGACAGATCGTTGGATTTACCGACTCGGATCCAACGACGTCGCTTTTAATAGGAAAGCGACGTCACAGGTCGTATCACCAGCACCCGACCTAAATTTGCACAAGTCTGACGTCGCTTCAGGTCAGATTTAGTTCGAAGTCAGATAGATGCTACTTAGGAGTAGTTTACTAATAAACAAATTTGCATAACGGACAAGAAAATGCTTAACGTTTCAGGAAGTATATCTTTTCCAAAACAATCTTCTACAAAAACCGTTGAAAAAAATAAAAAAATTGAAAAACAAAAAATAAAAACACCGCAACCGTGTGCCAGTCGGAAAATATTTATACTAAAATTTATGTAGGGGTGCGGGTAGTTTTGACCCTTTCCGTACTTTTTCTTGATTTTTGTGAAAGTGAAATGTTAGAGCACTTAGCATAATATAGACACCCAAAATCTCATTCCAATCGTAATAACGGTTTTTAAAATATATGAAAAAATGTGTTTATTTTTTTAAAGTTTGATGCCCTCTAGCGGACAAATGAAGCACTTTTGTATAGAGGTAAATTGTGTCGAATGAACTTATTTTGATTCCAAAAATACGTAGTAGTTAGTTCTATGTCAACGGAATATTGGGACACCCTGTACGCCATATTGCTATATTTGTCATGGTAATTTACAAGAATAGTCTTTATACATGAAATAGTCGAGTTAAATGAACTAGTATACTGAACGTTCTTTTCTTCTCTTTTTTTTAAATCTTCTTTTTGTCTAGGATGTTCTAAATGGTGTCATGTTTATTGTTGTCTAAGGGTGGCTGCAACAATGTCCCGTAATCCTGCTGTTAAAACATAACAATTCTGTTGTCCTTTACTCTTACGTGGAGCATAGAGCTTCAATAAACGCTCTCCAGCGGGTTCGGTTGTTGGCAATTGCTTGTCCTTTGCCATGCGGGTTTTGGACGACCAGTTCTGCTA